AGGACTCATTTGAACAAACTTGAATCTACACAACCTGAGGATGCTTCCTTTTACATATGATCAATTATGGCTTTGTCATTCTTGAGAAGATTTTTAAAGAATTTTTCTATATATTTCTATGTAAAACTTTGGTCGGCCATTTTGGCCTCGCACTACCCCCAGGGGTCATGATTTGAACAAACTTAAATTTACACTATTTAAGGATTTTTCCATATAAATATGATGAATTATGGCTTTGTCTTTCTTGCATTGAGAAGAAGATTTTTAAAGAATATTCCTATATATTTCTATGTAAAACCTTGGTCGGCCATTTTGGCCTCGCCCTACCCCCGGGGGTCAGGATTTGAAAAAAAATTGAATCTACACAACCTGAGGATGCTTCCATATAAATATGGTGAATTATGGCTTTTTCATTCTTGAGAAGAAGATTTTTAAAGAATTTTCCTATATATTTCTATGTTAGACTTTTGTCGGCCATTCTGGCACCGCGCTACCGCCAGGGGTCATGATTTGAACAATCTTGAATCTACACAACCTGAGGATGCTTCCACATAAGAGTCCTGGAACAGTGGTTCTGGAGAAGAAGATTTTTAAAACATGCCACCAAATGTTCATTAATTCCCAATTATATCCCCTTGAATGAAGGCGTGGCCCTTCTTTTGAACAAATTTGAATCCCCTTTACCCAACGATGCTTTGTGGCAAGTTTGGTTGAAATTGGCCCAGCGGTTCTTGAGAAGAAGTCGCAAAACGGACAGACAGACGGACGCCGGGCAAAATGTGATCAGAAAAGCTCAATTGAGCCTTCGGCTCAGGTGAGCTAAAAATGAAGTATGTTCGATTTCTAAGCTTTATACTTTCATTATTTGCCAAATAATTATAAAATAAAAACGACATTATATGATCCACGTTCAGTTTAATTTCCCGTCAACGTCATTGTTTTTTATGTCCGCTTCTTCTACCTCATACACTTAACTTTTTATGAGATTCCCTGGAGCTGAGTAAGGACTTAAACCCATCTTGTTTATATGACTTTACAATGTCATGAACAGCATCTTTCAATGCACATCACATTGAAAATAGATTTATACATTAGGAGGAATCATCGCTTGATTGTGCCAGCATATTTTACTTTTAAGAGTTTAATTTTTGGCATTAAAAATAAACAGGTTCTCTGGAGGCATTTTATTTCTACGTAGCCAGTTTAAACATTTTCTAGTCCTTCAACTCAACATTGAGATATATCGACGACGTATTGTCAAATAACAATGGTAATTTCCATTCCTACGTCGATATGATATACCCTGGTGAGCTTGAGATAAAAGATACCACAGAGTCTGACACATCTGTTTCATATTTCGATATTTTGCTCGAAGTTTAAATTCATTATTTCGTAAGTTCTATGGTCGATACAATTATCTTGTCAGCAAATACAATTCATCATTGGGTCAACTGCTGTCTGACGTTTTTCATACTAATTGTTAGTTCATTATTTATACACTGACACTGAATTGACGACGGATTTGTCCCGTTTTTTCCCGATCATGACAAGGAGCACACAGCGGGTGTGACTGGACAGCAGATGATGCTCACTCATCCATGGCATCTGATCACACCTATGATGTTTCGTAGGTCCATGTTTGCTCTGCTCCTATTTGAATTGTTTAATGGACTTTTATTGAATACTGTTCGTTATCTCCATAATTATCCATCATTCATATGGGAGGCGGGGGGAGGGGTATCATTTAGAGATCTCATTGAATACAGTACATGTACCTTTAGTTTAATGTACCTTAGTTATCAATGTTTATTTGCAATGTTATGAAATTGGAAGTGATTTATGATGTTTTCTATGATAGGAAACACTTTGCATTATAAAATGATCTAAGTAAATAGGAGAAACTAAAGTATAGAATACTAGTTAGTATAAAGGTCTGGCACGTTTCTTCAAAAGCCTAGATACTTGTGATTTTTATTCCTTACACGTATTTTTTGATCAATTTCAATTGAAAATATGATGAAGGTAGGTTTATTCGCATGTCCTGAAAATTTATTTAAGATTTATTCTTTTTTCCTTTACAATGATTAACTATGAAAATCTATGATGTAAATAATTCACACATAAATAATTCTAGTGGTGATTGTAATTGAAACACACCCTCAAAACAGATTTGCATCAACAGTTTATTTTTTTCACAAGTTCAACTTGTTTAAAGGAAATTCCTTTTTAAAATTTTGAAAGATTATTTGTATTGTTTAATGATAATTATAAAATTTAAAGCTTTTTGATCTTTATCTCATGAATAACCTGAAATTGCTTTCAGAACTAATTTATGGCGTGCATAGGTATTATGTGTTTTACTTCGAATATTTATCAAATATTTTCAATCAGCGTTTTCGCTCAACCAGCCCTTGCTTCAAAACAAATATCATCGCTACTCCACGGTCACTGCGTTTTACGAGAGTGTAAAGTTAGAGTAAAATAAACTGCTCATGGAATCACATTCTTTTATTTTAACTTAAATTTCTAGCATTGCCTGAATCGGGTCAGTAACATGCATTACCTGTGTACTAGAATTAAATTCGTTTCTAATGCATATTTCGAAATCGATCTCCTTTAATTGTTATAAATAACTGCTAGTTATGCAACTGATCGATGAGCAGGCGTGTATGATAAGACTTATGATTTTATCAAACAAGAAGTCAACTTATTTCTCATTTTTCTTTTGCCATACATGTCTTTTCGAGCTTGTTTACAAAGTATTTTTTTCTCAAAAAAAAACCTGATGTATACGTTTAAATACGTTTTTAAAGGGTTTTTTTCTTACATCGAACCCTTTGAAAATATGAAATCTTATTGCCTGTAAAATTAAATAATATTCAGATCATAACCTTAGAACACTTTATCATTTCTCCCAACTCATTTTTATGTAGTATTCACAGAAAGTGCTTTTTAAAAATCTTTGATTACTATGTATAGTATATAGCGAAAGTCAACAATTAAAACAAAAGTATGTGTTAGTGATTAATAGTTCAGACGGACAAAAAATGGAAAGAAAAACAAAAAAGCATCATTGGAAAAAAAAAATTTCATGTTCACAAAGTTATAAATTAACCTCATTTTTCCATCCATAAATACTTAATATTTCTTACCCTTATACATTTGCGTTGTGCATCACACTATCGTAATATTGGGACACACGTGATCTGGTGACGTATCCTCATATTAAGCTTTGTGCACAAGATGCGTGCACAGATAGTCTGGCAACATTGATTATGTTAGCCTCGGAGGAACGACATATTGCCCGATGCGAAGTCAATAGTAAAAAAATATTGACGGTCAATATTTTTCGGGTGGACTAATATTTCAATTATCTACTATTCGTCTATATAGAGTTATATAGTGAGAATATGTTCAAAACACTAGTATGAAATTATTATTATCATTTGTCTATCGAAATAAAAAAAAACTGGATAATTGAAAATAATATAGCAAGTATATATTTGTTTATTATAATGTCACTGTGCTTACAAAGTATGGAAATATATAGAGATAACGAATATTATTGAATATCAAAGTCCATTAAACAATAAAAAAAATAGGAGCAGAGTAAACATGGACCTCTAAAATATCAGAGGTGGGATCAGGTGCCATGGAGGAGTAAGCATCCCCTGCTGACCGGTCACAACCGCCGTTTATTCCTTGTCATGATCAGGAAATAACGGAAAAATCCGTCTAAATTCAGTGTATTAATAATGGACTAACAATTAGTATGAAAAACGCCAGTCAGCATTTGTCTCAATTATAAATTGTATGTGCTGACTCCCGACTGCACCTCGGCCCTCTCCTCCAAGATTGCTAAGATTAATTGGTCAACAATCTATTTCAGTGTTTTAGTTTGACATGAATAACGTTTGTAATAACTTTAAACTAAGAAGAAAATGGCAAAAAATATTCAATAGAAAGTTGTTAAAGCCACGGTTAAGGTTGGAATTACCAATTTTAAAGTTGGGAAAGACAAGATTAATTTTTGAATCATCAAATTAAATGTTCGAAATGCTAAGATTAATGCTGCAAAAGCCAATGAAGATTAAAGCTGGAATTGTCAACTGAAAAAGAAAAATACGTGCAAACTTGTACGCTTTCGTAAAAATAAAGTACCGGTACTCATCTTGGAATGTTTCTTATTTTTAATATTTCCTTTAGTTTTTCAACAGTCAATTCGAAACTTCTATTATACATCGTTAAAAAGAGTTATGATTATTTAGGTCTTTCCACTCTCACAACTCGAATGATTCAATGTACAAAAATTGCATTTATTTCTATGTAATATAATTTAAATTTACCAGTTATTGCAAAAAATGTATCAGTTGCTATATGTCAACATAAAAAAAATCTTACAATATTTTGTATATAGTACTAGTATTATGAAATATATGTAAAATCTGGTTCACATGCATCATTCTGATACTAAAAGACCATAGTTCCAAAATACTTTTTACTCATGAATAATTTATATTGGGGAAGGAATTTTACATTAGAAATACAATGAAGAAAACATATTTGAATCAAAAGACAAGAAAACCTTGTTGGGAAATTTTTAGAGCATTTCTTTTTTTAACTTGAATCACACACTTTTTTCATATTCAAAATATCTGTAAAATCAAATTAATTTAAGAAGAAATGTCAAAGTAAATGATATACATGATAAACAGAAGGCGCATTAAACTGTTGTTTTTTTTTTCGGAAATATAGATCCTTTCCACAAAAATTCTTCTAGTAGCAAATTCTTTCCTTATACAGTTTACGCTGCTAGAGTTGATGTTGATGAACAAAATATTGTAAACAAAACAAAAATAAAAACAGATGGATAAATCTTGTAAAGCTAAAACATTGTTGACAATCCAAAACGAAAATAAACATCTTTTTAAGTCTGATCATAAGTTAAGAATATTTTTCTGTTCATCATATTTTTGATTATATTATTCCTGGATCAGGATTCCCAGATGAATGTGTTTTCATATTTTCAACTGATTATAGTTTGTTTGGGTAAGTACTTAAAATTTTACAACAGCACATCATGATACATCATAGTAAGTCTATAGTACACTAAATTAGATGTTAGTATAAAAGTAGTGATTCAGTTCAAAAGTATATGTTTCAATCGAAATTTGAAAACCGTGTTACTTTTTGAACATTTTAATTACTTTAAGATAACAAAATATGCACATTATTCAACATTATATTTTTAAGATTCATCCATTTTCTCTTGAGGAAATGCGTGCATTTTAACGTTAAAAGCTTCGAGTATGGGTCCAATTGGAGTTACAATTGTTTTGAAATCCGATGTGCCGCCCACAATCATTCCAATGCAGTGAAAGCGATGCTGGTCCTCTTTGGTTGCCATTGGATCAAGCTGGAAAACGAATGCACCAGAATCTCCAGGAAGGGCAAAAGATGTACCGGTTCCCAAACATTCCAGCTGGGAATGGTACACATACGAACACTGAGATGATGGTTTACCTAGATCTATTACATCGTCAGTCCATCTGACAGATATTCCGTTTAAACGTAGTGCACCTTTTGTAAATCCAGTTTTTGCTCCCCATTTAAAACAAGGATCTCGTAGATGGGCAAAGTGCTCCTGGCGATAATCCCGTATAGTACCCTCACTATATTCAGGAAGATTTTCAATGTTAAATCCTATATCATCAAAAATATGGATAAAAATTGATATATATTAATGAATGTAATTGACTGATTATCCATGTGAGGACTTATTCAGTCAGACTTGCATATAGGTAAAATTTATTATCTATAAGTATCTGCCATTAAGGCTATAAACAAATGACAAAAACATGAAACGTTCATCATTGTAATACATCTATTCATTTAATGATTGTTTTGTCATATCTTTACTGCTATCTACAGATCGTTATTTGAAGTTTAATTTCAAAAAACATATTTTTGTCATTTGCTTCACTTCACATAAAACATTCTGACATTATTGGATATTTTTGACAGGTTATGATTTTTGAAACATACATAGAAGGAAAGTCAACATTTGAGATTCATTTCAGTCACATTTCCATTTATTTTCCCCTAATATGAAATAAAAAATATATACTTATTTATTACTCAGAAGAATATTTATATAAGTATTAGATTAAAAAAATTAATTACAAACTTAACTTTGATATTGCTACATAAAAAATATACCATTTTCAAGCAGGTCTTCAACGCTTAAGTCTGAAAACAGCCCTCTTTCAGGTATTCGAGTTGTTAGTTTCACAAGGGAAACGTCAAGTGTACAGTTTTGGAATTGAGTGTTGGGAAAACAGGATGATTGATGAACACCGCAAACATTGTTGGTATTGTTATAACTATATGCTGGTTGCACTACATCAAAATGAGCTCTTTTATCACATTGGGTTGATAGATTGAAGAGTACATGAGCACAGGTAATGAATCCTACATCCCCGTTATTTAAAGTTACGAACCCTCCAAGTGTTCCTCCTTTTAAGAAATCTATGTAAAATAATTTCAAAGATTTTTTTATTTTACAAATAATTTGTTTGATTGGAAAATAAATTTTAAATGATAAAAGCATTCATTCGTTTGATGCATTTTAACATAAATCAGGCAAAAAATTTTATAGTATGAACTTTGTCATAAAAGGTTACAAAACATTGCAGGAAAACAATAAGTGATGTTCTAATCATAAAAATTGAGAGAATAACCATTACAATGTAACAATCAACAGGGAAAAATTTACTAATTCCATATGGACTAAAACAAACAACTAAATTCATTTATAGGATTAATGTGTTAAAATATTTAAAACTATAGAAATCAACAGAAGAAATCAAATACCCTTTGAGCTTATACTTCCACCCATCATCAACGGATCTAGTACATCTGTGGATCGCTTGAAAAATCCATCGTTAGGAAATTGATAAAAAAAATCCCTCCCTAACGTCAGTTTGAATATCGTTGACAAAATTCGGAAATTCTGATTCGCCAAACGGTATAACCCCTTTACAAGCACAATAAAACACAATACACGGTTCTCGAACAATTTCTTTGCCATTTTTCATAGATCGAAAACAAGATGCACTGATGATTTCCAAATTCGAGTGTTTCTCGAAAAGAGAAGATGAGATATGCTGTATACATTTTCTAATCTTTCGATGAAGGGATTCATCAAACTCAATATCTTTTTCCATACCTGTAATCTTTGCTCCTTCAGGTGATGGAAATCTAAATAATTTGCAAATAATAGAAAAAGAATTTTGGTAGTAGTTGAACTTAGTTTCCTTTATAAGTCTGAAATCGTCAATAACAAGGATTATAACTTCTCTGTTTAATCCGGTAGTTCCTGCATTTTCTTGGCCGATGTATAGCCGTCGAACTTTTAAGGTCTTGTATGTTTTGGTCAACCAATTCCAGAATTCTAATAGTAAATTTTCTTTCTCTTGTAAAGAGTCTGGATGTAAAAATAAAGATTTATTTATTCCTTAACAAAATAGTGAACACCGTATCAGTGGAAATTTTAGCAAAACAAAAATGTAGTTCTTTTTCCTTAAAAATCATATTTTTTGCAAGAGGTAATATTTAGCGATTTTAATACGCTTACTAGAGAAGCTATTACAAAAAATGTTATCTTTAAGCGATGTTTGATTTTTCCGTTCTCAGCACCCTGCCTTATAATTCCAAAATTAAATTCTTGCTAAAACTGTGCATGCTTACACAGTATTGAAAATTAATTACGTTTAAATTGCTAATCAAAGTTTAAAGTATTCCCTTCAGTAAATCAAGGTTTTCAAAATTTTGCCTCTAGTGTTAAAGTGTTCACTTTAGTACTTCAAAATTTGAATATTGCCAAAGTTTTAATATAGTTATACTCAATTGTACATTATAGTAAACCAGATTATCGCTGATTAAAAGTAAACCAAAGTATTCCTTGTGATCACTTTAGCAAAGCAAAGTTTTCAAGTGCTGTTTAGTATTTATTACAATGTTTTGAAACGCAATTTTTACAAATCTATAGTCACAAGCTTCTGTAGAACATTGAAACAGAAGGAATTGGTCCATTGTAGCCAATGTCTTGTTAGAGAAAATATCCCTCTTACTTCTCTGATAGTAATACAAATGCAACATTAATTTTTTTTACTTACATTGCATTCTCCTGTAAACTGAAATAGACGAATATATAAAATGTTCATGTTTTTCTTAATATGCGTATGCTTGATTTTTACTTCAGACACAGAAAAAATAAATATGATTCATAATCTTTATTGCAAGCAATTAATATGATGTCTTTAAAGAAACAATAAAAAAATGTTAATAGTCCATTTAAACGATATGCTACAGGATTAGCAACATCTAATTTATCTGATTTTTTTTATCTTTAAATATTTTAAAGCTGAACAAAACTCATAAATAAGCATATATCATATAAATTTATTAATGTTGTATATCTATACGTATATCAGCCCTTTGGTATATAAACCCTTCACTTGACCTTAAAAACAAAATAAAGGTGAGGGATACCAGTATCAAAATGAAATTTACTTAAGCAAACGACAATGTTTAAAAAGAGCAACAACAATGCTTAGTCCGGATCAGCAACGATTAATATGTTTAATCATTCTTCTTTTTTTTCAGTGCAGCATTGTACATTTTTTAACTTAGCATTCGATTATTTTTGAAAGACAGCTTATAATTGTCTAGATACAAAGATATAAAGAAGATAATACTCATTAGTCAAAGGATCCTGATGGAAGGTAATTTTCTCTTATAATATAATGAATGGGCAGATTTTAATTAAGAAACCTATATAACAAGAAATAAGGTTAATTAATTTTAATTTCACTTATTAAGGGTTAACAAAATAAAAAAAAATCTAATACAACATAAGGGAGGATGCATACTTTGAATCTCAGAAAAAAAAGAAACTCAAAGAGTAACACAATTATTCTTTTATGAAATCAGAAATTCTTTCAAACTTACCCTTTGCAATTTCCGGAACTGTAAGAGACAATAAATTTATCATATTTGTCAAATATATAGATGTAAAAAAAAAAAAATAATAAATTCACGAAATCTTGTACAATGTCTAGGATGTCATTTACCCTGCATTTAAAAAATCCAACATCCTTATTTGCATTAATTTGTATATTCAAGGTATTTAACGTTTTGAGTTTAAAAGCTACTGTAGGTAAAATAACTAAAAATTATTGCATTTCCCTGACTTTCTTTATTTGACATTTTTTTTCCACAAAAGCCAATCTAATGGGGGGGGGGTCTTTTCATGTATCTTGTATTTAAAAATTGTTGATTCAAGAAGGCAATATCGCAATGTGATAGCATCAGCTAAATCAAATTTGACATTTTTTTTTAATGAAAGGTAAACTCAGTTAAAGATAACATTTTTCCTGGACATTTGGAATAAAAAATGCTGTTGCCAATCACACAATGCTTACTTCTTTTTTTTTTTTTTTTTAAATGCATAAAATATGACCACACGATGTCTATAAGATGCTATAATCAAATTCAAAATAATAATTTAACTTAATCTTTTATTGTCTCACCCAACTTTTCTTTGTATATTTCTGTTTCTACTTTTTTTCTCTTTGAAAGTTGAAGGAGTTAATTTCTTGATAATTTTACCGGAATGTAAATTAGGCAGGTTGATAGGTTAGAAGCTAAGGAAGCCTAATATGCATGCAAATCTCGTGCGCATCTGTCTCGTTTTCTGAAGCTAATGTGGACAAATATGCATGTTAATCTCGTGCGGCTACCTTTTTGTTCGACGTCAAAGGGTGAGGGCTATTGAAATTAGCAAGGGGATTTTCGTGTTATTTACATCCACATTTTAAAAATCTAAATGTATAATTCTATTTCACAATGAAATGGAAATATAAGGAATCACTGCCCATTTAGTATAGTATGTCAGAGACATCAACGATAGTGGGAAACATGGGATTTCCCACTATCGTTGATGCCCTGGCACACTATACTAAATAGACAGTGATTCCTTAAATATTTCACTTTTTCTTGTTTCCATATAAGGTGTAAAGTATTCATATAAAGAATATAAAATTATTTATGAACTGACAAAAATATTAGACCGTTTATTTAGAGAGAAAAACAATTTTTTTTTTTTTTTTTTTTTTTTTTTTGGTTCAAATATGTACTTAGATTGGGAACTTTTGAAATCTTACATAATTGTAGTTTCTTTGCAAATTTGAAATTTGATTTACATTTTTTTTCAATACTTTAGTCCATTATTATCGATTTTACTTACATTGGACAATTTTCTCAAGCCTTTAACAGTGTTATATTTAAACTAAATTCATTGTTCTAAAGTAATTTTAGAAGAAGAAAAGAAGTTATATTAAACAAAATAGAGGCCCTGATAGATATCAAATACTGTAAGTTATTATTTATGTTGAAACTGGAAGTCTGCCAATTTTCAAAGTAAAATACCGCCGTGGTATTTAATCTAAAAGAAAAACTTGATTGATATATAACCCCCCTCCTTTTACAAAGTGAGCGATATTGATTTCGGTATGTCTGTTCGTCTGTCTGTCTAACTTTCAATTTGTAATACTATCGGCTTCTTTGTTTCGCATCTGAAGATGCTTTGCAGCATTTGTTATTGAATTGAACATAGCAACTCCCTATGGCCTAAGAAAAATATTTTAGTGAAAAGGTCAAAGGTCGAGGTTTAGCTTTTAAAATTCTGTGTATTTTAACTCTGGAATTTGGTATATCCGATTGCATTTGTACTCCTTCGGTAAAATGTTAAACTAAACCTATCTATGGCCTGAGAAAGACCTCGTTTTATTTTGAGGACAAAATGTCAAAGGCATATGTCTTAAATTGAAACATTCAATGATTTTGTTACAAGTTTATTTCCGGATGATATCTCAAGACGGTTTTAATCTTTTGCAAGAAAATGTTATACTATTACTCCCCATGGCCCTTCCGGCCTTTATTTCTTACAGTGTTCGACAATCCCCCTAGTTGGATCCAAACTTCGGTAGTGCATGCTCTTCTTTTTCATTAAGCAAGGACCAAAGGTTCTACGAATTAGCTTTTTTATTAAATTTAAGGTAGGTCGCGGGTTTGCTTTTGTCATCAGTTTTGGTACACAAATTTGACGATTCGAGCGGTTGTTTTGTGCACATTTGATTTTGACGTCGGTTACGTCACAAAGGCAATGTTACGTTGTTTCCCGCTAAATTCTCTGCAAATGACTTCAAGTCTGTACGAATCAAGTAGATTAATATACAAAGTGCATGTTCTTGTACTTAAACCTCTTACATGTTTTATATGTATCATTAAATTTGAGTCTGAATTCTGATGTGATTATATGTAATGTCTAAGGACTAATTAAATACAATACCAAATGAAAGGAATAGTATATATTGTACGTGTAACTAAACTGCTAATAGTCAATCAGAATAAATCAGCGTAAAAGTTATGGTATGCAGAAAGAAAGTTATCATGAATAACAATTGCTTAGCGGAAAAGTCAGGGAAGCATGCGTATTGAATCATGACTGCAAATCAGAGCCTGAGCGAAAATATGCGTATACTTTTCAGAATGGAAATCCTCATCACAAAAAAAACGTGTTAAATTTAATTTCATGCATTTTACTGTTTTTTCTATCATTATTAATAGTGTTGTGTTCTTATGTATTAAAACCTCATGCACTCGCCTTTTGCTGGCTAATAAATTAATTGTTACATGCATTTAAAAATCAAATTTATATATGCACAAACACCTGGACTGTAAGATCTATAAGACTCTGTAAACAATTTATAAGTATCATTTTTTTCTATATATTCTTTTATATGACAAAAGCTGAAAGTGTAAAAGCTAAATGCAAGTGTTTTACATTTTGCGTATTGCAATTTGAAATTCAAACAAATTAACAAATGCAAATGTTTAAGATTTAGGGCCATATACTATGGCTTGCGACTAATAAAGAAAGAGCATTGCAGGTAAACCCCCCCCCCCCCCGGCCGCTTATATCCTCAGTATCGGGATATTTTCTTACAGTTTTCTAATAAAGTCATCGGACTTTTGCGTTATGCCTGAAATCCTGTCGACCATGGATTTCTTAAATATACAGGTAGTAATGTATACCGGTATTTTATCATTCGCGTTGTTGTCGCTGTACGTTAATTCTCGTGCACGAGAATTGTTTATACCGTTCATTCTGACTTTGTGTTCAAAATATGAATTTCACAATACTAGTGAAAATAAGTTGCTGTTCATACTTATATGTCTCCGCTATAAATTAAATGATTAATAAAATTTATTTTTGTTTCTATGTCACCTTTTAAATCTTGCATATTCCAAAAGTCAAGATTTTTATACTCGTACCGTAAACGTGACTGCGTTCAACAAATGACGTTGTAGATATAAATAACGCCAAAAACGCAACATTTTAGCAGTATTAAAGAAAACTTTGAAATTATTTAGCAAAAAATCTAGCGAGAAGACATATTGATTTTTTTACATTAATAG